CTATTACATATCTTCTTCTGCCCATTTGTATCTAAAATATTTATTTCAACGATTAATTATCTCGGCTATAAATTAGTTCCACAAATTGAACAACACGAGAAATGGAAAATACACGAGAAATGCACTATTCTCCTAGTGTATATCTAATAGAAATATTTAAAAAGATTCGCAGGAATTTCCCTTGGAATTCCTGCCAGCATTCCCCACCTTTGTGCACACCTTCGAGAGGATATCTGGTGGCCTCGCGTAGAGACGCGCTTTGTGCGCCGTGACGAACGTTTCCGTGGAAACTTGGGATTCGATTGGACGACCGGAATAGAATTTCCGGTTCCGATTCCGAAAATGACGCGTTACACGCGCGTCCCTCGTGCCTCGAGCGGGGAAACTCTGTGTCGGGAAATCCGCCAAGGTTCGTTAGCCCGCGAAAGATCTTTTGAGAGCGCGTTTCCAACACGCTCGTTTACGAACAGCAGCTTACGTTCGTCGATATTCGTCCTCGTTCTTGTCGTTGTAATATCGAATCGAATCGAAGATGGTTTCTTCGAAAAAATTTCACTCAATGATTCACGTTGGCTTCGACGAAAACAGACGCAACACTCTTGCAACACTCTTGGTTGCATGGGAAAGGAAAAGCATTCGAGATAAGCATCGTGGAGAAACGGCGAGGCTATCTTAGAGGCGTTAATTGAATTCTAGAAGCTGTTAGAGGCCCATTCAAGCTTGTTAATGGCCTCCCATTGAATCGTAACCTCTTTAAAAACCTGGTAACCCGGGGCCTCTCTTTCGAGGGTGTAAGCATCTCTTCAAGACGTTTCGCGGGGGGAGGGGGGCGAAGAGGTAGAATCAACGAGATTGAATTAACTATGGAAGAAGGGGGAAGGTGTATATAATTAAATAGGTAGCTCTCTCGACATCGAGGGACGTTGAGAACGAGAACAACGAACGAGAGAAACTCCGTCGTTCGAAGCTGCAAACGGAACATTTGACGCGAAGGTGTTAACACGTGTAGTACGGGTCGCCAGACATACCGACGACCTGAAGTCTGTGTACACGCAGACCGCAAAGTGCGCCGCGGCGCAATGCAATATCTCGGCCAAGACTTTGGGAATGCGAGGAATACGAGCGTAAAGAAACGTGTAATATTTCAACTCGTTTGAGGAGATGTCTTCCCGTTTATCCGTTTATTTGTGGAAAATTATTATCTGGGAAGAGATCATCGATGCGAGAATACGAGGATAATAAAGGAAATGGAACGTGTATACGATTGAATTAACACGACACGACCGAGGATACTATCGAAAGAGGTAAATCGTCTTCGTCCCCGTCCATGATGATTTCCGCTTCGACTTCAATTCAGGAGGTAATATTTTCAGGAAATGAACGTCGATTCCTGGAGGAGGACGTTTCCAGACGCCTAAGTTTTCATTAATTATTCCGAGCCGGTTAATTACGGGATTCCGCGCCGGTGTACATCGGCGTGGAGCATCTCCGGCGCGCAGTAACCGAGCGAACGAGATTCTATCCGAGATTTCCCCCCCTCTGACTGAATTTTTTCCCCCCGATCCGCTAACACTATTAAACACAGTGAAAATAAATCGAGCCCGGATCCATAAATTTCCCCGGTTTATCGCCTCCTTTCTTCCTTTCTTTCTTTCTTTCTTTCTTTCTTTTTTCCTTGCGCTACTACGGTATTAAAAACCTTTCTTCCCTTTCCATCCTTCTTCTTTTTTCCTTTCTTTTTCCCGTTCTGCACAGAAGCGTTCCGCACGCGCACGCGTTTCGCACGCCCAAACATCTCGAAATCTCTCCTCTCCCTCGTCCCTAATAAAACGAAAGGAAGAGGGAAAGAGTCTCGTACACCATCGTCGTTTTCACGTGTTCTCGCGCTCGTTCTCGTCGATTCGCGGCCGCGAATGCCGTATGGTCGAGCGTGCAAGGAGCGAGAGGGGACGGGACGAGAGGACGTTAAACACGGGAGACGAGCACTCTGAAAATCATCGTGCAGCGAGAAAGTGGTTGGAAGGGGTCAAGGGGGTGCTCCAGCTTGCTCCAGTTAAGTCAAACTGCTGACTGGTGACGGCTGACGATCCGACAGATGCTTCTCTGCCCATCGAAACCTCTCCTATTTTTTCCATCCCCTATCGATTTCTCGTTGATTTCTCGAGAAATCCCCCCTCCTCGATGACGATCCTTGTCGAGGAGAAAAGTCCCGTAAATCGTAAAAAACGGTTAGAATTGGTATAGAGGATAAGGAATGATAATGGGGAGAAGAGAGGAGGAAAAGCACTCCTCTCGAGAAGAGGAGTGCAACTCGCCAAAACCACTTCTTCGATGTTTCCTGTTCCCTTCGACCGACACCTCGAACTTACTTCCAAGTGTTCGATAATTCCTTGACCACCGAATCTCCGTGTTTAGCGCCACTCCTCGCACGCCAGTGGTGGACGGAAATTAGCACGATCTCTTCTTGGTGTTGTTGTTTCAATTTCCAACCTGCGATTTTTCGCGTGGATAAAGAAAAACCGAATATCGAATGACTTCAACGATTCCATCATTTCCACCAAGCTTTTTTTCTTTTTCTTTTTCTTTCTTCAGCGGATTAATCTCCTGCGGGCGTTTGAAACTCGGAGCAGAAATCATAATTGATTTGACTAATTTATGAAAAGAGGAAAGAGAGGAAGGGTGAAAGAGGGGAAGGAGAAACGGGTCAAAGCTCGTTATTCTCTCCACTGGAGAACAGCCGGCAGAATTTCTGGGGGGACAGAATTTCTCGAGGCCACAATGCTCGACGCGTAAACCCGTGATTACTATTGGCGTTACCGTTGTTCCATCTTGTCCCATTGTAGGGACGATTCCGCCTCGAAGAATCATACGAAATAGAGAAATAAATTCGATAGCTATAAAAATTTGGGCGGAGCTTTAATAATTTGGGAAATGTGTAATGTTTTTTTTTTTTCACGCTCGAATTATTATCCGTTCGGAAAATCTCGTCGAGAGAGCACCTCGACTCGTGCTCTCTTTCGATTCGGGTCAACCATTTGGCCGGTATAAATGAACGGTTGAAATATTCAGAGATAATCGCGACGCGTGCGCCACCCGTGTATCATTATTAACACGCGAAAATTTATCTGTGATACCATTTGGTGGATGCATAATCATTCTTACCGAAAATATATATATATTTATACATGCAGTCACGTAGATCGTATATACAAGCGAATTATAAAAGGCGGCCACATCGTTTCGACGAAGACAAATGTGCATTTATTTACCGGGCAAAAATTTCATTTCCAAGAGTCATTAGACCTGGGGATATTGGCACGAGCCTCTATGCAACTACTTCGCAACTTTCCTCCAGTCCAAGCTATAAATAAAGAGGTCACATCGCTCGAGAAACCGATCAATCAACGCGACTGCATAGCAACTTATTGTCCTTATTGAAAAATTATATATAGGAGAGAGAGAGAGAGAGAGAGGAAAAAAAAAAGAACGCAATTTTTACCTGGGAATGGGAGGTGAAATAGAAGGTTGAAGAGGGAAATTTGTATTCTTATACTCTTCTTGAGAGCAACGAGAAGAGATTATCGCTCCTTCGAGATAAAAAACGATTTTATCTCGAAGGAAAAACATATGGATGGAAGTAAGCAAACGCGTTTCCATTGACTAACTAGCCCGTTTTAAATTTCTTTCTCGCGTGGAGGAATTATTCGCTTATTGAGTTGAGTGGGCTCGGGCTTCCGACCAAAAACTCTTGTTCCATTTTCCGCAGGGCCGACCAATTCGATTTATAAACGAACACGCTCCCTCGAATGCGCGAAATCGATCATTCGATAATTGGAGGGAGGAGAGGAGAGGAGAGGAGAGGGGAGGGAAGGAGGGAGGTCGTAGATCGGTAGCCTCGTGGAGAGGACGTTCGACAATCGAGCAGACGGCCGATTATTTGAAACGAATGACGGAGACTCGAAGCGACATCAAGCATTCATCGATGCATCGTTTAATGGAACGATCGTGGAACGTGACCGGCCTTTGTTAAGTTAAATTCGATGGAAAATAGCTCGAAATTTATCGTGGCCCACAATTGTGCTTTCGTTAACTCGTTCCCTTTAACTCGTTCAAACTAAACTGCTTCGTAATTTTCTCCATTTATTCGCGGGGGAGCAAATTAGATGTCGCGAATTAGAATTTACTCGAGGGAGATTCTGAGAAAAAGGGGGGGGGAAAAAAGGAGAAAAGGAACGATATAGAAATTTTCTTAGAAAATTTTTCCACCTACAATCGCGCGTTAATCGTCCTGCTACCGAGAGATTATTCAGATTTAGTCCCGGATTAAGTCTTTTCTCTTCTCCTCTGTCGGCTTTTCCCGGATGAAATCCATGAACGTGGCAAATCCGGAAGGCCGGATCTCGGTATATCGAAGAAGCAACGCGAGCATATAACGTTTCGCCGAAAATATGAAGATAGACGGAGACGTAAATCAAACGATATCGATATTGCTGCTTTAATAAATGATCTCGAACCGTAAAAAAAAAAAAAAAGAAATAGCTGGAAAACAGAGATGAACGAACAAAGAAAAATGTGTTACGCGAAATAAATAGAAAAAAGAAAAAAAAGTATCGAAAATTTGACAGGAAAAAAAAAATAAAAAAACCGGAATGGGAAAGTAGTTCACGGATCGTGGTAGAGAAAAACTCGTTTCAAACTCGTAAAATGATTTCCACTCTAAGTTTGATATAATTTGCATATGCGGTGCATCTCGTCCATCGTCCTCTCACCTTTACTCCCAAAACCCGATACACCGAGCCACGAATTTCGGGCTTTCGACTCTAACTGCGTGCAGTTTCCACCGATTTTCCGACGATTAAGTACATTAGCCGTAATGACGGTACGTCAAGAGGGGAGAGGGGGTGTTCAAAGGGTACTCTCCGCCTGGCCCTGGCTCAAACCTCTACAGGGAATCTATTCTCTCGAGGGCATTCTCGACAAAACGGAATTCACTGTTTCAGCTCGCGCACAACTGGCCGACAATTAACAGAGGAGGAACGGGCGTTCCGTTGAAAAATCAATGGCCAATCCGCCGAGGAGTCTCTTCGGGAATCGGGGAGAATGCACGCGCGGATATGTGGGGATACGGGGATCAAGGCGAGGATCGATCGTCGTCGATAAAGGATAAACGTGGAAAAGAAGGAAGAAGATGTGAAAGGAGGATTGTACGAGGATATTGCTACGATATAATCCGTAAATAACGTAACAACGCATCTCGACGAGAAAATTGTTAGATTCGCTTACCAGGTTACACGCGTCGGAACCTGGATCCGCATCGCGCACCATCGTCCTGCGAGTGGTGGTCGCGTGATCACCTATCGCACGGTTACATAGTGAATGTTGTTCGCACACGGGACAGAAGACAGGTGTTTTTTTAATTTCTCACTTCTCGAGTCCCCCCTCCGCACTCCAACGAAAAGAAATATCTTAATCCCGATCCGAAAGAATGGAAAACGCTGGGGATGGAACGCGAGATGGAACGCGGAAAAACGCGGACACCGAGGCGACACACCTCTGTGCCGACAGCGACGACAGAGTTGATGCGGACCGCGGAAGGGAGGCTGCGAAACTGAGATGAAACCACGGCGCAACCCCGGTGCGCGCGCGCACCAAAACCACCCCCGGAATACACGGAAGCAGCCCGGCCGAACCAACACTACCCCCTCCCCGCCTACAATACTACCCTCCAGGACTACGACGAGGACGAGGACGACGACGACGACGACGACGACGACGATGATGCTCCCGCTTCCATTTTTCTCCTATCTCGTTCCCTTTCCTCTTTTCAGCCCTCCTTCCTTAAGCTTCCCGCTACCCTTTGACCGCCAAACATCCAGCACGCTGCTCCGTTTCTTATCTTCTCTTCTTATCGAATTCAATCGATGCATCCCCCTCCTCCCCCGATCTTGTGACGATCGAGGACGACGCATAGTTGTTTGTACTCGTCTCTCGTCACGCTGCTCACTCGATCGATCGATTCACCAATTGTGAAAGCTGTCTGGAGAAGAGGAACGAATTAGGAGTTAATTGTAGAGAAGGTTATATTGTGGAAGGATTATAGTTATTCGAGGTCAAGATTTATAAATATATATATATGTATGTCTTTGTAGTATTCTATCTAAATTATATATTTAACAGATAAAGTATCGTAGTATCGTGTAGCATGAGAAAAAAGAGAATGGAGAATGTGATAAAACAAGTTTCAAGCTTTTCCAGTGAAATTTCACGCGATTAGAGTTCACGTGGGTGAAGCTCAATCGCTCATCGATAGTGCTCGAACAATGTTGCTCATTCCAGTGAGTTTAATTGGCAATTATGTGGCCGTTGGCAAACCTATATTTTTTTACATTTAGTTAATCGAAACGCGGCCTCATAGAGAACCCCTGTCTGTCTACTTCCAATTACCCTCGATCCACGTTTTCCCAAATTCGCGTTAAATCGTTGACCGAACCGAACTTTCGCATATATATATCGAATCTCGTTTCGAAACAACTGTTTTAGTAAATTTCTTGAATTGAATGCGCTGCCGATTTATGCACCGACGAAACGATAATCGAAAAAAGTAAATGTAAACGAATAAAATGAAATCGCGGTTATGAATAAACGAATTGAACGTACAAATGAATAACTAGATTATTCTATTCGTGTGATTGCGAAATAATCTTTGCCAAACATGATCCGTATCCAAGGTTATATTTTTTGCGCAACACAACAAGAAGCACGACGTAATTTGGGCGTTAAATAAAAATACTAGGAGAGAAATTTCGTGTGAGGAAAAAAGACGAAAGGTAAGCTTTATTAAGGGATCTTTAATAAAAATGTACGGTCGTGGAGTAGCCGTAGGTGATGAAGATTGATGGAAGGAAGGAGATTGCCAGTGAATTTTACTTTCGTTGTATTTGTTAAAATCGGTCCACGTTAATCGAAAAAGATACGAAAAAAGATACAAAGCGTGGATGTTTCTTAATTAACGAAATACAAGGAGAAATAAAAATCACTTGGAAAATTCGATAGGAAGGGAAATTGTTGAAATCTGAATCAGGTGAATCATTTTCGAGCTTGGATTAAAATTGAAACCGACGTTCCAATTCCACTATCTAGTTTTACGAGAGGTTACAGTCACCGTGTAATCGTTATGTACTTACGAGAGTAAACGAGAGCACTTTCGAGGCGTGAAGTTGCTCGTTGTCTACGAGAATTAAGTTTCCCATCGACGAGTTTCATCGACGGGTTTGAACAAGCTCTGATACAAGCATCTTCCTACTAAATATACCCGAAACATTTATTTGACGACTTTCAAAAACCGGGCAAACTATTGTCGAATCGCGAACTATTCATCGATGTTTCGCTTCAGCTTGGATATCACGTCACAATCGATGAACACGCGACGTATTTCGAGCGCAACGTATGTTAAAACTCTGTTCTCTATTTTTTCCCTAACATTCTCGGATGAAACTCGTCTCGTCGTTCGAGAGTGAAAAGTGATTTTCCGAGCGTCTACGGGGAAATTATTCCCCCGTAGTTTGTTCCCCTAATTTTTCCCCAACACTTTCGTCCGTTTCCAAGGATTCCGGCAAGGCGTCCCCGTAATTACACAGCCTTCTATTCAGAGTGGCCTCGAGCGCGTCCCAAGATGGCAATTCGTCTTCGTTCTTCGATTCGGCGTAGTCCAATTCCTTGCTTCGAGCGCTTCGTGTTGTGCTCCACGTCGGTGACTCCTCTCGACTGATCATCTCTGTGTTGAATTTACCTTTGCCCGTGTTATGATTCTGGCGTAAACTCGACCGAACCGACGAATTCCCTGAAATTGAAAAAGTTGTTTTCATACCGTTATCGTAATCTACTCTTCTAAGAAACCAACTGCGTACGCTCTTGTTTATATACACACTCTTATTATGAATTGCGAATTATCGTAAAGCATCATATTCGAAGGCCACGAAATCGATCGAATAAAAATAAAATATAGAAAAGACCTAATATGTAATATATATTACAATAATTTATATAAATAAATAAAATATATAAATAAAATATATTACAATAATTTTTATATATATATATTATAATAATTTATATATATATATATGTATGTATAACCTTTAATGGCATCCCAAATTGGAGTGCGGTATCTCCTTAGCGTGATCGTCCCCATTATGGAATCTATGGATGAGTTGAAAGAGGACAACGAATTCGAGTCCCAGGTGTTGCAAGAAGAAAACTGCCTCCTCAATGCGTCGCGTCTCAAAGTGTCGTGCATTTCTTGTATCTCTTTCTCGAGCTGCTTTTGATGCTCGGCGATGATTCGCCGCTCCCTTATTTCCGGCGATAATGGCCGTGGGGGTGAATCCAAGAGATCCGTCTCCGGCCTGGAACGAACAAAAGCGTATCTATTATGCGTCGGGGAGAGGAATCAAAGGAAAACCGCGCGCCATTAATGAAGCTTCGAAACTGGCATCTTCTTAGAGTCAATCGTACCTCGGTCTATAAAGCTGTCTCGGCGAGTCGGATGTGTACACGCTTCCGGTCTTCCTCGAGGAGCGACGAGAGAATTCTCTGGCCACGCGTTGCACCGCGTCCAACACGACCACCCGCTCCTCTCGTGGCAAAAAGGCGGCCGCTTCTTGCACGACCTGTGATGGGAAAAAACTCTCTTTCTCTCTTTCTATTCTTCTATTCTAGAGAAAAAAGAAACACGATAGATAAAAGGAGAAACTGTTTCTTTTCCCTTTTTTTATCTAAGCAAGGTGTCCAGCAAGGTGTTTGAAAAGAAAGAAGGGGGAGAGGGAAAGGAATATTTGATAAATCGAGCACGCTGAAATCTGCGAAGGAGAGAAAGATACGGAGAGATTGGGTTTGGAGGATTTTAGTCAGGATTAAACTTAGTTTCGAAGCGCAAAACGCATTTTCCATAAGCATAAGGGGGAGTGAATCGCTCCTTAAGTAGAAAGTTAGCTGGCACATGGAGGATGGAGGCGAGAAGAGGAGGAGGCAACTCCTCGGGGCGAGAGGGCAAAGTAAATACGCGTTCACTTTTTCCCTTTTTATTCGCTTTCTGGTGGGTCTGGAAATATAATACATGCATATTCGGAATGCCAGGAACACGGCAACCCGTGTCGTCTTTTTACTTCGTCTTTCGAGGCAAAATCGAAATGGAAAGATACGAGGAAAAATCGCGACGAATCCCCTGTCCGTTCCATTCTAATCTAATCAAATGATCCTGGCAAATAAACTTGCCTACTCGAAGACGAACCATGGAGTTCGATTTCAGCTGAAGTGGATCCCGTTGAGGAGGACTTGAACTTCGAATCGAAATTTTTTCGAGATAAAATTACGCCAGAGAACGATATTTGCACGCGGAAATTAAGTGAAATTAACGAGAGCGCACGATTTTTCTTAGGTTTATTCGACAAATAAAGATATAAAAATTGATAAAGATAAAAAAAAAGATACATTCTTTCGTTTTCCTCTATCTATCTATAATAGAAATTTAACAAAGTTAAATCGAGATTCTCTTCGAGCATCGAAGTTTTATTCAATTAGAAAACTGATTCCGCATTTCACCCACGATAAAATCTCTTTCTTTCGAGAAACTTATTATCCGCGATAACAATAGCGCAAAGTCGAAGAAATAACCAACGATGATGATATTTTTTTCATCTTTAAATCGATTATTATCGAAATAAAATAAAATAAAATAAAACAAGATCTTTCTTTCTCAAGAGAGAGAAATGTTTCGCGCAAGAGACGAAGACAGGGGAATGCTTTGTGTCGCACGAAGTTTGGAAAGGTTTGAACACTGAAGTCCACTGTCTCGCGGGAGACCAGACGGGGAACGAGCAAAGAATCGAACGTCGTTTATTTTGTTCGAAAGAACGGCCATCCCGGATACCTGGAACGATGAGAACATTAATCGGGTAAGTAACAATCGTCTCAGAAACCTCTACAAGGGAATTCCAATTGTAATTGCCATGTTCGACGCCAAAAAATCGAACATGGTTTTATCGTATTTATCAGTATACGATCATCAAATTATCCTTTTTCATCTTATTTCATCCGTTTGCAACGAATTTGAATTTTTAATTTCGTTCGTGCGATTTCCTTTTTTTCTTTTTCTTTTTTTCAGAATGGAAGATCCACGCGAATCCAAGACAATTGAGGAAGGAAAGAGACAAAGAGGGAAAGATTTTCCGTGGGAAATATGGTTGGCAGGCAGGATCGAAGGGTTGGGTGGGCAAGTTAGCTCGGTGTTACTTCATCCGAGGAAAAGAGGATCGAAGAATTTCTCGGTGAACGGCGTTAGTCGAGGAAAATAGGATCCCCAGGATCGTGGCTGACGAAAAATTTGGTCGTCGCTTTACAGATATCGACAAGGGAGGATTGGCCTAACGTCCAACCCCCGCCCGAACCCTGGCTGACACCTATTAGGATTGGTTTAACTGGATCCTCCCACGAATGCCGAAACGTTTAAGGCCATCCAAAGAGTCCGCTAACCTTCGAGAAAATCCCTTTGAATCCCGATAAACTCTCGTCGGGTGTTCTGTTTCGGGAAGCCAAGGTTGAGCGATTTTTCTTAATGGATGGTCAAAAAAAAAAAACAAATTTTAATCCACTTTAAATGTTCATGTTCTCCAATTTGCATTTCTGTTCCTCCATTTTTAGAAGAGCTCTTACTAATTGGCACCTGGATAAAAGAATGGGAAGAAGAGATCGTCGCGATGAATCATCATTTCGATGAATCCAATGATTTGATTTTTACGGTTTTTATTATTGTTATTAACATTTCCTCAACGAAATCCTTTTATTCTGATTTTCGCCATTGAAGCAATTGTAGTAGAATACCATTTATTTTTCATTATTTGGATAATTTTATTTCCATTTTTCTGTACGTAAAATGAAATGATGTTTCTGGTAATAGTAATAGGATCGATTCAATTATAAATATTTTAATTCGATATAGTCACTAGACTTGATTGAAAATTGTTAATTTGATTTTTTATTACGAAAGACTTGTATTATATTGAAATAAAAGTAGCATGTATTAATTGTCATCTAAATATTTTATATTTTATTCTTCATATACTTTTTTTATTTTCTTTTTTGTCCAATTCGACTCAAGAAGTCATAATTTTCTTTTATAGTAATTTACACATTTATATATTTTTAATTTCGCATTCGAATATTATCGTAAAATATAATAAAATCGAAGATCAAATTACAGCTTGAATGATCATTCTTGTTCAAAAATGATTAAATATCCAACGAGAGGATTATTTTTTTATCAAACTGTCTGTACACATATAAGTAAGTACGTTTTGCAAGAACATCGTTCCCTACTTCTTGTACTATCGTTGTGGCAACTCTTCTCGTCGTTATTACGGTAACACGATCCTTTGAAGTAACGTCGCAACCCGATTTTATGATCTCTCCTTAAACCAAGGTTTCACTTCGCAGTTTCTCGTCCCCGGCTTTCCCGAAGCATTAAACCGGATTTCAAACTGCCGGTTGAAAATGCAAGAAAAACGGAAGTCGTTCTTCTACGCGGAAGATTAAGAAGCGCGCTTAGTAAAAAAAAACGGCCATCTTTTTAAATACGTCCTTTGATTACGCTTGTAATCAAGCTTAATCTTAGCGTTCGAACCTTTGCCCTTCCTCCCTCTTCCCTCGAAAATAATAAGTCTGAGTTAATTAACAATTGCTACTACACGCTTGAATAAGCGAATAACTTCATTAAAGATATTAAACGAGCGCAACATTAAAAGTAATAAAAAAAATGTTGCTCTGGTTTCAATTACAACAACGTTGTAATTGAGAAGTTAATGTACACAAAATAAATTCTCTCGTGGAAAATTCTTTTTCCGATTATTATAGTATTTCTTCCTTTTTTTTATATATATAATTTATGATTTCGTATATCTTTAAATTGTCAGTGTTGTATAGTAATCGAGTTATTGTTAGATACGAAGAAAAATTAAAAAAGAATCTTTCTCCCGAAGAAATTGTTGCGAATCTCTATGATATTCGATAATTCACTTTATCGTTTAAAATTAATAAAGTATTTGCTCCGCATCGTTCCTCCTGTTATTATAAAACTATACGAATATAAATGTGCGAATAAAATAATGTTAATGAAGAAAGTATTATTCGAAATTGAATATCACGTGGCAAAAATGAATTTTATAATTAATTTTTCTATTATTTTCCAGACGAAAATACGAAAATACTTTAATATATAATATATTTCTTTATAATTTTAATTAATACATTATACATACATACATAATAATTAT